TAGGTCCTTCTGCCTAGGGGCAGAATCCGCAGGAGCGAACATTACCCAGAGTACAAGAAAATGGAGGTAGGGAACACATAAGACATTTGGGCATATAGAAATCCATGAGACCAAACTGAGGGAAGAGGCCAGCATCACTGAAAATGCTCTCTGACACCTTAAAAGTCATGGTGATTGGGGGAGGTTTCTGATGACAGAAAACAGGCAAAAGTCACAAACATCCTCAAGATGGAGAAGAGTGTAGGGCTCACTCAGTCCCTGGGAAGGTGATGGAGCAAATCCAGCCATTGCCAGTTTCATGAAAGTCAAGACCATGATTGGGATCAGCCAGCACAGGTTCACCATGATAAAATCTGGTTTGATAACCTTGATTGCCTTTTGTGATGACATGGCTAGCTCTGCATATGAGGAGAGAGCTGTGCATATTTACTTGGACTTTACTTTGGCCTGTGATATGATTGCCCATAGTATTCTGAATAGCCAAACTGGTGATGTGTACTGAATAATTCAACTAAAAGGGAGATGGAAAAATGTCTAGGTCATCAAATATAAATGGTCATGGTCAGCAGTGCAAAGCCCAACAGCTGTCTGGTTAGCAGCAGGGTCTCTCCAAGATGAATACTGGGGCCAATATCTCTTTGTAAAAAACATAGCATCCTAGAAGACAGAGAAGAGTGCAAGTCTGAGGTTGATACCAAGCTGCAGGGGCGAGGAAGTAAGGGTTGTTGTGTTTCTGTGATTTGGAAACAAGTAATGAAAATCAAGGAGTATCAGGAGTCTAGTGGCTGARTGAGGAATCAGATGCCAAGATGAATATCAGGGGAGAAATTTGAACAGCAGGAAGACACGACATTCAGGAACTGAGAAAAGCAGAGATAGGGTAGATAATTATCGGCTGTACTACCTTAATTTTTCACTCCAGCTTTACTTTTGACTCTTAAATGCTTAGCTTAGTAAACTTATTGATGTTTCTTTAAAAGATATTTTCCAAATTTGTGCAATCTGATATATACATGTTGTGTTGCTACTATGTACATTAGAAAATAACTAGCTTTCATCATGAAATTAAAATCAAGAAAACTGATGCTATCAAAATGACCATTTTCTACAGGCAGAAAGCTGTAATTTGGAGATTTTCATCATTTACTTTTTCAYTAAAGGATGTGCAAAAGATACAATGTAAAAGTACATGATGAGATAAGCTATTGCAAATGCATAGAAGACAATAAAAACAATTTGCTAGGTGTGAAAGAGAAGCCCGTGTTCACTCATATACTCTTGATGTCATGCATATTAAGTCAGTAATAATATATAAGTAGTCTGTAAATGGCATTGTCTTACAAATCCATCTATTGACAGCTGCTTTTCCATACTTTGTGGCAGTTTCTAGTTTTTGCTGACCACAAGCCATTCTTTGGAGGATTCGTTTAAGAAAAAAAAAAAAAAAAAAAAAAAAAAAAAAAAGGTTTTCCAAATATGGCTTGGATTAAAAACAAAGAAGACAGCTGGTGGACAAACAGGTCAATTTTTCTCATTAAGGTACAGAAAAAACAGCCTGCTGCAAGCAGCCTGCTCTTCTCACCTACTGCAGTGAAGGCAGAACAGTCTTATCAGGTAAGGTCACCCTGCACGGCAGCTCTGCAGTTTCTGTCTCACCCTTCATTAATCCACAGGGGTAACCAGTAGGAATCCAACAACTCCTAAGTACTAAGCAGCATCAAAGCGGGTTGTCAAGAGTATCATTTCCTTTAACTATGCGAATAAATAAGAATAAAAAATAAAAATATAAAAAAAAAAGAAATAAAGAATAAAGAATAATGAGTGGGGACTTAATTGTGCTGGGAGGCATCTGCCTTCATTATTTTATTTCTTATTCTGATTGTGTGTAATATGCTCCACCTTTGTACTCTACCTATGAAAAAAAATGGAAAATCGTTTTGGGGTGGGAGCGATATTTATTTATTTATTTTGATGCTCACAGAACTCCTTTACTTACCTTTTCCTATTAGAAACTATTTTCTGCGTAGAATGCAAGAAGAATATGGTTCTGGCAACTGAAGTAAATAAGTAGGTCTTTTTATAGGAAGAATGTGGTAAAATGTGGATCATGTAAGAACAAAATCACCATAATAAATTCTCACCTGAAGAGCTTTTGTCCTTTAGCACTCGATGTTCTGCAAGAACCTCTATACCTAGTTTGATACATCAGGTAGGATGATAAGCATTCTTGACACTATAATTTCATACCAGCAAAGACATTGCATTGTTGTTGAAGTCCCTATTTTTGGTATAGTAACTGAAGAAATATAAACAAGATAATAAGAACCTGCAATGGTATTTGGGCAGCTATTGTTGCCTGGCACCAGGGAAGACAAAATCACAAAGAACATGCTGATAAATTCCCAGATCATTCCCTCCTTGTAGCAGTGTGATGTGCTCTGTGTATTTCTCCCATCCATGATGTTTACTTCAGCAGCCTGATGCTCCCCAGTGATACTGCATGAATAAAAGAGCAAGCAGTAAACTGACAATTTATCACAACTCTACTAATGCAAACTCCATGTGGTGTTCTATTCCTCTTTTCTTCCTTAATGCTTCTTATCAATGTTTCAGAGTGGTTGTCAAAAGCTGTTCAAAAATCTGTTATCCCCAAATGTTATGTAGTTTACCATACACTGCAGAACTCCAAAGAGGACTATATAAGCAAAGCAGAATTTCGCATCCAGTCAACACAATTCTTTAAGATAAAACAATGCTGTTTTATATGGCATACAATTTATTTCATGTAGGTTTTTACTTAAAATGTTTCCCAGGGATAAGTAATACAAACATTTGGTTAACCAATAACCAGCAGACAACAAAGCTGAAAAAATAAAGTACATATTTTTTGATTGGACTAGGAAAAAGATTTTTGCAAAAGGTAAATGTTGCATTAGAAAGATGTTTACATTAAGCAATGTGATATTACATTGCTGGAGAAAATACACAGACATTAGCAAAACGGAAAATTAAGAAAAGGCCAAAACTATTCAATAAACTTTGAACTGGCTGACATTTTCCCTTTGCACCAAAAGTCTCCTGTAGATGAGTAAAACTGAGACAAGAAGTAACTATCTGAATGGATTAAGTGAGAGAATAAAAGGAAATCAGGATCTAGGAGTAAAATTCATTACAGTGAATATTTTTACCTCAGTTCCATTACACAGCCGTTTCTCATGCTTGAGTAGCCATAAAGCATGTGACAAGCTTTGATCCACTGGAAAGCCGGAGATAACATTCAAAATGGGCATTCACCAGAAATGTTCTCTCTCAAAAAAAAAGCCAGTATCATCATTTTTAAATGATCTTACTGTAATAAGAATGTAGAATACCTGTTTTATGTTAGACACAGGTTTACAGATATTTCTAGGGTGATTTCTCAATGAGAGATCTCTGCCTAACTACCTAAATAGCAAATAATAAAAGTTACTTCACTGATGTACAGTTTAACAGGATTGTGTAAAGCAATAGAGGTTCGTCAAGCAAGGGGGCTATGTCTTTGTACTCTGTGTTCAGTAATCATATTTTACTTTGGTGGGAATATATGGACCTACTGCAATGAAAAAAACAGCAACAACTATGATTGTCGACAACCTGGAAATTTACAGTTAATGAAACAAATTTCCGTAAGAATTACTGTTGGCTTGATGCCTTCTATTTAACATCAGCACATGACAATCATAACTTCTTTCATCCCTTTTTTATTCTTCATTCATCCATTAATTCATTCTGTCAGTGAGTCAGTTATTTTATTTAATTGAGAAATCAATTGAAATTGGTTTAACTAACTTGAGAGCATTTGAGCCAGTATTCTTGCTTTGCTTGTATGAAATGGTGCTATTTTCCATCATTTTCATCAAAGGCTTATTCTTCATTAATTAAAGAATATATATCAGTGTCTTTGCCATTTAAAAGCTGACATATAATCCTTGGAAGAATAGACACATATTATAAAAAAAAAAAGATTAGCTAAACAGCTAAATTTGATTTCACAAAATCAGAGAATCACGGAATGGTTAAGGTTGAAAGGGATCCCTAGAGGTCATCTAGTCCAACTCCCCTGCTCCAGCATGGATACCTAGAGTATGTGGCACAGGGTCACATCCAGGTGGGTTTTGAAGACCTCCAGAGGAGAGTCCACAACCTCCCTGGGCAGCCTGTTCCAAGTCTCTGTCACTYTCAGAGGAAAGAAGTTCTTCCTCACATGGAGATGGAACTTCCTGTGTTTCAATGTACCCATTGCCCCTCGTTCTATCACTGTCCACCACCGAGAAGAGTTTAGCCTCATCCTCCCTACATTCTCCCCTCAGGCATCACAGAATCACTGCATTACAGAATGTTTAAGGTTGGAAGGTGCAGCGATTGAGAGATGGGACGTAGCTTGACGCAAGAAAAGTGTCGATTTTATTGTTGTTACACACACGTTTATATAGATCAGAAGGTAGCGTGTCTTTACGCGGATTGGGTGCTTCTTCAAATCAGGCACTCCTTGATTGGTTAAATGTAAAAGCAGCTACAAACAGGTTTTAAGAAGTACTGAGTAACAAACTAAGTCTTATCTACAAAAGAATTCTCCCTTTTACAGCTCCCTTTGTTCAGGGTGATCCAGCCTTATCTTTGTCCCTCCCAGGGCAGCAATTCTCCCTTTTACAGCTCCCTTTGTTCAGGATGATCTCCCAGGGCTTGTGGCCGACAAGTTCCAGCASGTCTTGCTCCAACAGCGGCACKGTACTTGAGGCCCTGTCAATGTTGGTCGAGCCCTGGCCCACATCTCCCCCTTCCTGTTGCACAACAAGAACCCTTTGCACTGAATGTGCTATTAGTTTCTGCAAGCACTGTAATAAGCACGGGAGGAGTAGCAACAAAAGGAMAAAAAMAGCATCACTCTTTTGTGTGGTTGCAATCCTTCTGCGTTGATGATTCAACAGTCCTGAGGATCCCGGTTCTCTTAGGAAGATTCACCGGCTTGCTGCTCAGAAGGTCTGTCTTGGGAGTGGTCCAGTTCKTTGTCCGATGATTGTGGTAATGATTCACGGAAAGGCCGCACACTTTTTGCTGGAATCCATCGAGGGCCTTTTTCTGTGGAAACACAAGCATAACCTCTGCCCCAAGTGATGAGGGGATATGGTCCCAGGATCTTACCTGTTTCGGGATCTCGTACGAGCACCCGAGCTTTAATTTGTGCTTCAAGTGAAGAATTTGCATTAAAGTGTCGAACTATCRGGGGATTATTATCTATTAAAGAACAATTCAAAAAGTTAAAAACATATAAGGCTTTCTGTAGATGTTCCTCAGGGGTAGCTGTCCCCCTTTTCTGTTGTTGTAAGAGGATCTTACAACAGAGAGAGGATCTTCTCTCCCTTGATCTGTTGGCAACACTCCTCCTGATGCAGGCCAGGATCCCATTGGCCTTCTTGGCCATGAAGCTACACAGCTGGCTCATGGTTAACTTGATATCAACCAGGACTCCCAGGTCCCTCTTTGTGTAGCTGCTCCCCAGCAGGTCAGCCCCTATTCTGTACTGGTGACTGGGGTTATTCCTCCCCAGGTGCAGGACCCTGCACTTGTCATTATTGAACCTCCTGAGGTTCCTCTCTGCCCAACTCTCCAGCCTGTCCCATYGGCCTTCTTGGCCATGAAGGCGCTTTACTGGATCAGCGTTAACTTGCTGTCCACCAGAACTCCCAAATTCCTCTCTATGGAGCTTCTTCCAACAGATCAACCCCTAGTCTGTACCCGAGGTTATTCCTCCTCAGGTGCAGGACCCTGCATTTGCTTTTGTTGATCCTTATGAGGTTCATCTCTGCACAACTATCCAGCCTATCCAGGTCCCTCTGAATGACAGCACAGCTTTCTGGAGTGTTGGCCACTCCATTCAGTTTGGTATTGTCTGCAAACTTCCTAAGGGTATACTGTGTGCCCTCATCCAAGTCATTGATGAGCAAGTTGAAGAGTACTAGACCCAGTACTGACCCCTCGGGGACACCACAGAATCAGAGAATCAGAGAATGCTTAAGGTATGAATGGACCTCTAAAGATCATCTAGTCCAACCCCCCACACATGTCAGTGTTACCTAGAGCATATAGCACAGGGCCTGCATCCAAGCAGATTTTAAAGATCTCCAGAGAAGGAGACTCCACAACCTCTCTGGGCAGCCTGTTCCTGGGTGCTCTGGCACCCTCACTGTCAAGAAATGTTTTCATAAATTCCTGTGGGACTTTTGGTGCTTCAATTTGTGGCCGTTTCCTCTAGTCCTATCRCTGGCCACCACTGAAAAGAGGCCGGCCCCATCCTTCTCACTCTCTCCTTTGAGGTATTTCTATACATTCCTCAGATCCCCCCTCAGCCTTCCCTTCTTCAGGCAGAACAGGCCCAGCTCTCTCAGYCTTTGCTGATAGGGCATATATTCCAGACTCCTGATCATCCTCGTAACCCTGTGCAGGACACTCTCCAGCACAGGAGTGAGTGTCCATGTGCATCTTGTACTGGGAAGCCCAGAGCTGCACACAGYGCTTCGCTGTGGTCTCACCAGAGCTTGTAAAGGGGGATGATCACCTTCCTCAACCCGCTAGAGAGGCTCTTCTCAATGCACCCCAGAATCCCATTGGCCTTCTTGGCCGTGAGGGCACATTGCTGCCTCATGATCAACTTGTCGCCCGCCAGGACAGCCAAGTCCTTCTCTACAGAGCTGCTCTCCAGAAGGTTAGTCCCCAGAACACCACTGGCTACAGACCTCCAACTAGATTCAGACCCATTTATCAAGACCCTATTTCACCATCGTTAACCCAGATTTCACCATCCTAAGTATCTTTTTAAAACATCACTGGTAATAATTTTCAAAGAACAGGGGCAGGTTAATTTCTGTTTTCAGATTTCTTGACCCAACTTAATTTACATACAGACTCCACTCTCTAGTCCCACACCACGGGTTTTGACAAAAGTAGTGAAAAGAAAAGAAAGCAAAGTGACAAGAAYGAAGTGCTTGCATCAAATTGTTACACATGTAAAGAACATCACATAGAAGATGTTACCTGTTTTGTGATCATTTCAATAACAGTGGTTCTCTTCTGGTTGTAGGTGTTCTAGTTCTTTCCCCTTTAGCAGGAGTTTATTTGGACACTATTTCATTAGTGCTATAGTAATACACTGAAATGCAAGAAGTGTATATTTATGGGAATTTCTGTGCCCCTTAATCATCTCTACTTATAGGATCAAAACCAGATTTTATTCAAGGTTCTGATGGTCAAGGGAATGTGAGAGGCATTCATTTTTTTACATCACTCCTTTTCTATTCATGCATTTTGGTAAGTTATATTGTTCAGAGATCTGCATGCATCCTGCTCCAGGCAAAAAGGATGCCAAAATCTCATTTTCTTCTTAATCATCCATTGACAGTTTGGGTTCATAGGAACACAAAGCACTTTTTTGTTTTTTTCTTGAGGGTCCCATGAACCTGACTTGCGCTTAATTGAGTGTGTAGGAAACTGGTCCCAAGGTTTTAAACAGAACTTCTTTTTTCTCCCTCCCCAAGGTTCACATGGTATTTTGGATGGCCAAGTCAGTATGTGTTGTAAAAAAGGACATATATATTTAATACTGTCTTTATGGTTCCCCCTAGTGAAAACAAAATTTTCTTTTCATATTTTCTCTTTCTCTTCCTCTTGGTTATTTTCCACTTTGGCATAGTGCTATTTATTCTTCAGTGAACTGTAGCTTTAAATGCACTTCACAGAACAGTAAAAAGGTGTATTCCCACAGTAGATATATCTGTTCACATTCTATAACCTTCTTGTAAAAGTGTTCCATGTCTGAACTAAATCAGGAAAAAATCCAGTCCTTGAAAAGTACACACAAGCAATAAATCCTTAGCAGAATGAAAACAAATAAATAAATTAATGAATTCCTCAACTCTCTTACGGCTCTAGCTATCTGAGCTTACTTGAGCTCATCCTGCAATGAAACCCCTTCTTTAAAAGAGTTGTGGAGCTGAGCTCCAATGCTGTTGGCACATTATAATGAAATGAAGTGACATGATAGAGGAAATGGGAACAGAACAGCTTTAGAGGATTGTTCATACGACAGAACTATTTCAAAGTGCTTTATGGAGGKCATCACATTTGTCCTTTTCCTCTGTCACATTTCATGTTGGGGCTCCCCCAATACAGACTGAGCAGCAATGAGGATAACGGAAACACTGACTATCAAATGAACTGTCTCTGACTCTTTCTTACTCCTTCTAAGAAGAGGATAATCCCATCTTTTCATAACACAGCCCAAGTCTTTCTCTATACTAGGATTAGGAAGAAAAACTGGGGGTGGAACTGTGAGGGGAGAACAACTTCAATGTGATTCCTACTTTATGCTTCATGCTTTTCTGTTTGGCTCAGAAGGCAAACCAACTCCACTTTGTGCTCTTTTAGATTTAAAGGTTATTAACAACTGCAACACTAACCTGCTCAGACCTTGTTTTCATTAGCTTAGATAGGATAGCAGGATTAGGCGAGCTGAAAGGCATATGACATGATTTAGTTCTATTTGATGCTTCTGCCTTCGTAAATGTCAGAAGCAGGGAAGAGAGTATTAATAATCATTTGCATCCAGTATGCTAACGGCAGTGCTCCAAGAGCATGCRTTCTGTAAAACAGAGCTCCAAGACAGCAAGCCCCCGCTCTTCATTTTAATGCTGCCAAAAACATAATAAATGCAAACAAGCTCATTCAAGACAGATCTGAAAAATGCAGGGTTAAATAAAAACACTAGTATCTATTTAAAAGCAGAGAAGCAGTTTGCCAGAGCAGTTATTTCATGTTAATCACTTTGTATTTACTGCAGCTTGAGAAAGACGCATTTGTTATGCAGACAGTGTTCATTGTCGTAGCTTGATCATTAATGCACTGCTGCCAGCAACAAAATGAATTAGCTCTCTGAATACTAAACTGGGAAACCAATGTTGAACCAGAGAGGGGCACAATGACACTTACAGGATTAAAATATTCTACCCAGCTATGAGAGGGTGCATTTGTGGTCTTTGCTAAGTATTATCTATTTTTAAGATTAGTATTAATAGAAAGCCTCTCTGGTATGGTTGAAAATTGCAAGACAAACAATAGCCATCATTTATGTTTCCATGGGAGTTTATACTCTTTCTGGAATACAAGTCTCTCATGGGTTATTTCCCATGCTTGACCATAGTCATTTTTTCCCCATCAACAATTTATCATTTATTCCTTTACATGCATGCTTTGAATTTCTGCAATTCCTAGAATACTGTAGATCCATGGCAGCACTGTGGAAAGTACATGAATAAAAACACCAAGGAATCAAAGCCCTACTGTGTCTATGAGGAGGTGTCACAGCCATGTGCAAAAGCAGAGTAACAAAGTGAATGCCACCTGTCACTCCAAATGTTTTTAGACTGCTTTTTATATCAGTGTCATGAGAATAAAAATACTAATATCAAAATACTAGGTAATTATTACTAGCTACAACCTGCCGTGCATAGATCAGTAAACTAGGAAGGGCTAATTATATGCTTAAAATAAAACAAACAAACAAAACTMTAAAGGAACATAATTTTGAGCTAAGTCTCAAGGTAGAAATCCAAATTCTAGATGAAATCATTAGCTTCTYCTAGAAAGGAAAACAGACAAGTGATATAATCATTTCCATCTCTTTTTGTAATTATCATTGCACTGCTTACTTGGTCTTTCAATCCCAAGTAGGAAAAAGTTTTTTTAGCACWTATGTATAAAGATAAGCACATCAAAACCAAGCCATCTCAACATTTAATGATGGCAAACGGTAAAACTATTATAGAGTTGATACTAATATTGATTACTTTTGCGAATTCAAATTTCAAGATTTTTTTTATAAAGTAAATGATAACTGTCTCTATTTTCTATTTATTTCATATATTTTTTCTAAGAAATACACTTCTTCAGCTTTAGAAGGGTATACACAGAAGATTAATCCTGAAAAAAGTTAATGGAAAGGGGAAATGGTCATCAACAGCATGCCGTGTTCTGAACTCAAAGACTATCTAACTGTTATCTAAAGACTATTTGTTTAGTAATGAAATAATACTGAAATTATTTAAGCAATATGAATCGTATAAATGCTAAAGTTGTTGGATGGTCTTTTCCTTCCTGCTTTGAAACACACTGCAAGCATATCTTCAAGCTTCA